ATCAGAGAACAGAGAATGATATTCAAAAGTTTGATGGAAGAAAGCATTCCAAGAAGAATCTAAATTAGAATTTCAACTTAGAGTATAAACTATTAGTTTTATGGCCTTTATATTTTTTACATGTAAAATTTTTAGTGATGAAAAGAATAAATAAATAAATTTACTACGTGATGAAAAGAATAAATAAATAAATTTACTACGTTAACTACATACACATCTACTTTTAACAACTAACATACACATCTATCTTTGTTACTTTTGGACATGTGCAAGTCAAATACAGAAATTCACCTTCCGTAAGGCTCCATACGAAAATTTGAAAAATTTTGTAATAACGACTTGAGAAAAAGAAAACTTGCGAAACGATTCATTTCGAAAGAAGACTTTCGCAACATTCCCTTACGAAAGGAGCATTTCGAAACGTTGTTAAAATGTTGTTATATTATTATTCAATCGTCTATACTTATACCGATGGTATGTGTTTTTTTTTTTTTTTTTTTTTTTTTTAGTTTACATTATTTATATGTCGTAATTTCTATGTAATATAAACATATAAACTTGGAATCTGGAATAAGATCATATCGATCTTGTCGCCAGAACCATATAAAAATTACAATATAAATATAATATAGTATAATACAGGTAGTTTATAACAAAATAAGAATCCAAAACATTTAAAATAAGAAATGGTTAAAATAATATCTCAAAAATATTTCAATATATTATCCGTAGAAAAAATAATATTCTTTAACTTGTTTTTAAAAACAGAAAAAGAGATCGATGAATCTAAATTAGGCTGTACAATTTTATTCCAGATATAAGGTGCTCAATAATCTATACAAAATTGATTAAATTTTGTTTGACAAAAGGGTTCTTTTAAATAGTTATTATTTCGCAAACTATATTTATTCTTTACTTTAAAGGTATATAGATCTTTAAAAACATGAAATAAGGGGTTATTCATACAACAAAACGTAAAACATAAAATATTGTACAAGTTAAGTTCATAAACGTTTATTACATTCATATCTTTAAATAGAGGTTTTGTATTTGAAAAACGATTTTAAAAATATATTATTCGCATTGCATGTTTCTGATGGCGGTAAAGACGTAGCAACTTACTTTTACCTGTATTTCCCCAGGCAATATTTGCATAGCTTATATAGCTATGAATAAATGAGTAGTATAGTTGTTTTAAATTATTTTTATTTAGATAATTTCTGGCCTTATAGAGGATACTAATACTTTTTGCAACTTTTGTTGATATATAATCAATATGAGCTTTCCATGTCATATTTTCGTCAAGATAAATACCTAGGAATTTTAAAACGAAATCTTTTTTTATTTCTACTTCGTCAATATAAAGTTTAGGTAAATCATAAGGCAAAAAGCTTTTTTTTGTTGAGGAGTGGAAAAGGATCTACTTTGTTTTGTCAATATTTAAGGTTAATTTATTGCATTTAAACCAGTTAGAAACTTGATTAAGTTCTTTATTCATATCTAAAAAAAGTTTGTTAATGTCTTTGTTTGACAAAATAATTGGTATCGTCGGCAAACATGATGCTTATAAGATTCGAGGCCTTATTTAGATCGTTGACGTATACTAAAAAGAGAAGTGGACTAAGGATAGAACCCTGTGGAACACCACATTTTATTTCAATTAATGTTTTATTTTGAAGATTAATAGGAAGCAATTCTTCTCTGTGGTAGACGAATTGCTTTCTATTTGACAAGTAGCTTTTATACCATTTGATCATTTTACCAGTTATTCCGTAGAACTCAAGTTTTTTAAGTTAGATATCATGATTGACTGTATCAAAAGCCTTTGATAAATCGACAAAAACACCAAATGTATATTGTGATTTAGCAAAAGAACAGGTTTTCTGTTTTCCCGTTATTTCTTTCAATATTTTCCATATTTGTTTTGAGTCATTTTTATATTTAGTGATTAAATTAGAATAATAATTTTTTTTTTTTTTTTTGCGAATTTTTTCAAATAGAGTTTTGTAATTTTTATATATGCGTAAATTAGCATGACATTTTGTTTTTAAATATTTTATATACAATTTTTGTTTAATTTTTGAATATTTTTTAAGTCCCTTGGTAATCCAAGGACTACTTAAGGGTTTTGATCGAAAAGAAAATTCGCATCGTACACTGAGAAGAATGTATTAAAGAACTTATTATAGATTACATTTATGTCTTCATAAAAATTTATATGCTTCCAGTTTAACAATGATAATTATTATTTAAATGCTTCTAAATTTTTTTTGTTGAAAATACGTTTTTTTATAGTTTGACTTTTATTGTTAGGAGTTGAAATTGTGTTAATTGTTAGAAAAATGGGTCTGATATATCTAATTTTAAAATGCCTATTTGAATGCCATTGTCATATATATTTGTTGTTAAAATATTGTCTATAAGGGTGGTTGAGTTTTCTGTTATTCGAGTAGGACGGTTGATAAGCGGTATTGATACAAATATTTCATAATAAAATTTTTTAATTTTTTGTTTTCGCTATATCGTAGACAATCCATATTTAAATCGCCAATTACAAAGTTTTTTTTCTTTTTTTTGTTACCTTTATGAAAAATGTTGTGCTTTAAGTATAAGCTTAAATTTTCTGACGCACCACCAGGTGATCTATAACAACAACTTAGTAGAATGCTTTTGCTTTTTAACTTATAGCTTTTATTGTTTAAAAATTAAATTGTAACGATTTCTTTATCGCCATCAGAAACGCACAAATCATTCCTAACGTTATACGCAATGTTTTGTATGTTTGTATATATACACAATGTTTTGTATATATATATATATATATATATATATATATATATATATATATATATATATATATATATATATATATATATATATATATATATATATATATGTATATATATATATATATATATATATATATATATATATATATATATATATATATATATATATATATATATATATATATATATATATATATAATACTCCATTTATTTAACCATAAAATATGAAAATTTACAACAATATTTTATAAACTCACATAAATAGGGTTAGGTGTCACTCATATAGTTAAAAACTAGTCAATGGAGTGACTCCTAAAAAAAAAAATACAAAAAAAACAACAACAAACTATTAATAAAACACAGAAAGAATTTAAAGCATAAAAACCTTTTAAAAATCATAAACGGGTGAGCATTGAAAAACGAGACTGGATTTAAAGACACACAACTCCTTTAAGGAATAAGGTAAAAAAAAATATTTTAGAAAGCATTTTTGTTCTAGTTTTTAAATATTTGGTGTGTTTTTATTTTTTATAAAAAAAAAATAAAATAAAAATAAATTCAAAACAATAAGAGATTAGAAAACGTGTGTATGAATTTTAATTATATTACAGAAATATTGATAAAGGTTCACTCAAGATTATTATATTACAGAAATATTGATAAAGGTTCACTCAAGACTTAAATATACCTAAAAGTATTACTCTATTGGTAAAAAGTTCACTTTAAAGCTGAGAACATACCTAAAAGCACTATCAACATGATGATTAAACATGCTGAATCTGGGTATTCTGAAGAAAAAGCTAAAAAACGACCGAGACAAACATTAAGAGGTTCAAACTTATGTTTAACCATAAAGACGCAGTTTCTCAACCACAAACAGCTAAAAAGTTCAACTCAACAACACATTTGCAAATCACTAAATAAAAAACATAACTAAGAAAAAAATTCCAAAACGTTCTGACAAGCAAAAAGCAGTTGCTGGAACTAAGTGCAGTCGATTGTGCCAGAAATTCAAAAATCGTAAAACAATCATTGACTATGAGTCTTATTTCATATTAAATCATTTCAGTATCAATGGAATTAATTGAGTCTTATTTAATGTTGAACCATTCCAGTATCAATAGAGTTAATATATTTTGTACTAGCGATGTATAATTTGTTATATCTACAATTAAAAATAAATAAAGAAATATTCAAAAATTAAAAGTTTTATAAAAGACCCACAGGAATAATTGGCAGAAAATCTTAAAAAGTTACGAATCAAGTATTGCTTTGATAAACTTGATATTGAGATAGAGTTTATCTCATTCTATATCAGGCCTACTTGATTAGTCAGCAGGAATTGAAATTAACTGATTATATAGATAAAAACTAGAATAAAAATACTTTTTAAAACATTTTCCTTTTTTGTTTTACCTAATACATTATAAGAGTTTTGTCTTTAAATCCAGCCTCGTTTTCTAGTCGTTACCCGTTACCAACAACTATGTCAAAAAACTGTAAATTTCTAATGATATTGCGATATTTTAGTTAAGATTTTCAACAAAAAAACAAAAATAAAAATTTCATGAATTTACTATAACTATAATAAAAATTATTTTTTTAATGACTAAAATTTGAAAAACCCATTCTAATATATTATTTGTTTACATTATGGTTAAATTTTGACTACCTAATTTTTAAAATGTTAGGAATATTTTGGAGAAACTCTCTAAATTCCTTTTATCTAATATGAATGAAATTGTTTATCCTCATGAAGCTCTGACAAGTTTACAATCAACCTTTTTTAAACTTTATCTACGAAAAAAGAAAAACCTTAAACCACAAAAAAATATACAATAAATAAGAATAGAAAATGTTTATGCAATTCAAAAAATTCAGTTAAAAAAATGATTTTCCCACGATTGATTTCTACAAGTCATATTATTTGCTTTAATATAAAAATTACATAATTTTTTTCTAATATAAAGGAATACGAAAAAAAAAAAAAAAAAAAAAAAATTATAATTTTAATAATAAATTTTAAAAAATTTATTAAATTGAAAGTTAAAATTTTTTTTCATTATGGTAAAAAATTTATTTTATTAGATTTAACTTGAAGAAAAAAATTTCTTAGTGCTGCAAATGTGATTTTATATACAAGTGGAATTACATTGGAATTGAAAGTGAGATCAATAAAAAGGATTAAACTAAAAAAAAAAAAAATTCAAAGAAAAAACTTAATATTTCAGTTTAAATTATATTCAATCTCTGTCCAAATTTTCATTATTAAAAAGATTTTGACATAAACAACTTTTACAATGCCATAAATATTACTATTAAAATTTCTTTACTTTGAGAAAGAAAATATTTATTATTTATATTTAAATAAATTACGCTTGAAACAAACAAAACATAAGACAATCTAAGTCTATTTTAATCTTACTAAAAGTTACTGCAATAGGTTCATCACGTCTTGCCAAAAAACTAACAACAGAAGGTACATTATACCTTTTTAATACATCCAGTAAAATTAGAGCGTCCGTGTAACGAGTAAAGCACTCCATTGTAACATATTCTTCCCCCTCACCCATAATCCAATGAACTTGTTTTTCAAAAGTTTTACGCATTTCTGCTTCTTTTTCAGTTGAACTTAAAGAATCCTGTAAACCAAAGAACTGAATCTGGTTATTAGATAAAGATATATGGACAACGTTTTCATGAATTCTATCACTATCATTTGTTGACCTTATACTCGTCGTCGTACTTATACTCGTCGTCGTACTTATACTCGGAGACAAAAAGTCATCTAATTCAAAAGTGTCTTCTTTTTCTGTTGCCAACTTTTGTAGCTTATTTTTTAACTAAAAATAAAATAGAAAAGAAATTCAACTATACTTTACACTATACTTACAACTATACTTTACAACTATACTTTACAGAAATACATTATTACAACTTGATTTGGAAAAATTGGTTACATAAAAATTGTGCAAACCCTGTTAATGTACACTGAAATGTTAATGCTTATGTACACTGGAATAACTTTAAAAGAGTTGCATGCTTAAGTCACATTCAAGACATTTTGTTACAATTATTGTAAATAAATAAAAATTATTTATCAGTTGTCACATTTAAAAATAGATTTTCCTGAGTTTATATAAGTTTTTCTTAACTCTTTTGAAACTCTTTTTTCTGTCGATTTTGATTTACAAATAATCATCACACAACTTATAAATGAATGAAACTTATTTACTTATTAATGAACAAATTGAACTTTTTTATTGAAAAAATGTGAACATTCCAAACCTTAAAAAACTTCTTGAATATTTTTGCAATCAAACCACATAATTATTTCAAAAACATCCTATCTAAAATTAAAAAACGCTCCACCATCTTCATGTATTTCCTAAATAAAGTGGGAACTTTAACGAATTTGATGATTAGATTTCTTTAACTAATAGGTAGTCAAGTACCTAGTAGGTAGTCCAGTACCCAGTAGGTACTCCAGTATTCAGTATGTGTTCTAGTAGGTAGTACATAGTAGGTAACCAGTAGCAAGGTAAATAGATTTGGTATTTTTATTTTACAAAATTTGATATCAATAATAAAAATATTAAAAAACAGAAAAAAATAGATAAAAAAATAATAACTTCTAAAAACTTCGAAAACCAAGGTAGTTTCAAAGACTTCCTAATTATTGCATTGTAAGCATATGCAAACATTGCAATTAAGCATTGTAAATTTTATGCAGATAAATCAAATATGATAAAAAAATTTAAAACTTGATCAGTAATGAAATGTTTTAAGACAACAAAAAGTTCTTTTATAGTTTTTTTTTTTTGTTTATAATGTTATTATGTTGTTATATGTACATAACAATATATGTAAATAGATATTTGTAATTAGATTTATGAACGTATAGTTTTTCATTATTTATTTATTTTTCTTCATTTTCTGAAAATTTAAAGTGCACATTTTATGAATTATAGTGCTCAAAATATTATAGGAAATTACATCCTTAGATGTGTTATTCTGAAATAGCTGTGGGGCTTCAATAAATCATCAACTGACGTCATAAACGAAAAGCCACTACAGTTAAGGAGGCTACTTAAATTGTAATTGCAACATTATCTTAACTCTATATTATATTCTATTCTATTTTTAAATATTATTCAACACTATTTTTAAATATTGTTAAGTGAAGAACAGTGAGCACATATAACAGAGATGCGAATAAACATTTTAAACTAAGTAAGGTGCTGATAAAAAAAAGCCTTCACTTAATTTAAACTTGATTTACACACTTAAAATTAACAAGGTTTTTTTACTCTTTTATTAACAAATTTCATCTCTTATCTTGAATCTAATAACTTACTGATCATCAATATGGATTTCAATCTTCTTGTTTTACAGATTATTTGAACAGTAGTAACAGATAGCTTTTATTGTGCATTAAGTAGATGTGGAGAAGTTAAGGCTATCTGCTGGTCTTCTCCATAAGCTCTCTTCTTACAGTGTATCAGATAACATCTTTATTGAATCATTCGATATCAATCGTAATATAAAAGTTATCCTCGATGGACAGCACTCTTCTTCATATCCTGTAACTTAAGTGTTTCCTCAAGGTTTTATCCTTGGCCCTATACTTTTTTTAATTTACATTAACGATCTCCCAGAAATTCTCATATCTAAGATGGCATTGTTCACTGATGATACTACCATTTATTCTTAACTTGAGAAAAAGCCAACACTCTCTGATTGCTTGGAGGGGACATTTGAGCTTGAAAAGGATCTCACTTCTGCTACAGAATGGGGCTCTCAGCGGCTAGTGAACTTTAACTCAGATAAAAATCTTTTTTTTTCAGCTAATCATTATCGCAACAATTTAGATCTTCCTATATTTTTTGAACCATAATGTATTCAATGAGTCATCCTCCCTTCATCTTCTAGGATTAACTGTATGTTCCAATCTTTCTTGAAAACCATATATCAAATCCATTGAAAAATTAATATCTACTAAGATTGAATCACTTTATTGTGCTTGGCACTTTTTTACTCCGGATTCTATTCTTTATCTCTATAAATCTCAAATCCATCTTTGCATGGAATACTGTTGCCATATCTGGAGCAGATCTTTGAATGAAGCCTTTTTTCTTTTAGACAAGATGCAAAAACGCATTGTAAACATAGTTGGACCTGCTCTTGCAACCAAACTTCTACTATTGTCATACCATCATAATGTTGCTTCTCTTTCTCTTTTCTATAAATACTATAATGGGCACTGCTCTAAAGAGATAGCATCTCTTATGCCATCTACTAAAATTCATTCTTGTCTTACTCCTCATTTAATTAAATCTCATCTTTTTACTGTGACTGTTCCTAAGTGCTCCAAAAATTATTTTTTGTCTAATTTTTTTCCTCGAACATCAGTTCTTTCACTCCCATCATCTAGTTTTCCTGATTCATATAATTTGCAATCTTTTAAGTCAGGCATGTCAAAGTGGCGGCCCGCAAGACCTTTAATGGTGGCCCCCAACATTTTAATCATTTTATTACATATGGCTGGCCACAGACATGCATTTCAAAAATAATTTTCTGAACTCTTTTATTAAAAAGGACATGAATACTAAATTAATTTTCTAACTTTTTATTAAAATTGAAATTTTGAAATTAAAACCATAAAAAATTATTAAAAAATTACGACAATATATTTTAGTTTTAACAATCGATAATAATTTTTATTATCGTAGGGCTGATCAATTACTCCAAAATCACCGAGGAAAAGCAATTGCTTTTTTTATTCACCCGGTCTAATAGATCAGTTGTTATCTTGTTGATGTTGTTTAACATTTAGTTATTTTTGATTTTAGTTACAATAACAAAATACAAAAATAACTGTGAATTATTTTTGTATTTTGTTATTGTAACTAAAATCAAAATTTCTCATTCAAAACCAAGTGCAAGCAGAAAACATAAAATTGAAGATGAAAAAATAATTTTCCAATCAAAATGGTAAGCACTATACTTTTTTACAAGCATTAATGAAAGTATTATTTGTCTGATTTGTCAACAAAAAGTTAGTATGCTGAAAGAATTCAATATCAAGAGACACTATAAAAGTCATCAGGAAAAATTTGAAATTTATGAAAAAAATAAAAGGACAGACAAATTAAATCAATTAAAAGCCAAACTAAAAAAGCAATAAAATCTTTTTTATTCCGTGAACAAACTCATAGTCAAAGCAAGTTATAATCTGGCACATTTAATTAGATCTCATTCCAGACTGTTCACTGAAGGTGAATTTGCCCTGAAAAAATAAAATATTTTAACAACATAAGCCTTTCAAAAAATAGAGTTGCTGAGCGTGTAAATGACATAGCAACAAATTTGAGTCAGTCAACAAAAATCTGCAAGGATGGCAAGGTCTATTCAATTGCTATTGGTGAAAGTACAGATATCAAAGATGTTGCTCAGTTGTCTGTTTTTATCAGAGATTGCAATTTCAAATATGAAATTACAGAAGAACTTCTGGAGTTGATTCCAAGCATGGTACAACAGGTGCAGACATTTTTTTGGAGATTGAAAAAGTACTGGACAAGTATAAACTTCCAATTACTAAACTTGTGTCAATAGTTACTGGTGGAGCACCCGTTATGATTGGTTCAAAGAAGGGTCTTATTGGTAAATTAAATGAGAAAATTGGCTATAAGATGATACAACTTTTTTCATTTAGAAAAAAAAGAGAAAATTGTATCATTCTTGGTGAATGATGCAATGAAAATTGTACAATCTCAAAAAAAAAAAAAAATTTCATTGTATTATTTACCAAGAAGTATTATATGAAAAAACAATTGATCATCACAATCGATTGATTATGTGATTAAAAGAGTTCTGTTGTTTCTGTTGTTGATTAAAAGTTGTCAACTTTATAAGAGCAAGAGAACTAAATCTTTGTTTGCTTCATTGTTGTATGAAAATGACAGTGAATATGAGGATTTACCATATTACACTGAAGTTCAATGATTATCATGTCACAGAGTACTCAAAGCATTCAATCATCTGAAAATTGAAAAAATATTTCAATTTTTGGAAACAAAAGGGCAAGATGTTTCAGATATAAAAAATACCAAGTTTCTTCAAAATTTAGCTTTTCTAGTTGATATGACAAAACACCTGAATGATCTGAACATTATTTTGCAAGGAAAAAACAAATTGGTCACCACAATGTTTGATAATGTCAGCTTTTCAAACTTAGCTTTTACTATGGGAATGCCAAATTGAACAAGAAAATTTGATACACTTTGAGACGCACAAGTCTATGAAGCTGCAAGACCTAAATATTATATTCAGTAGCTACTCAAAAAATATAAACAATATAAAACAAGATTTTGAAGTAAGGTTTCAAAAAATGTGAACCAAAGTTTGCTTTGTTCACCTCATCATTCAACTTTGATATTGAAAAAGTGGAAGAAGATTTGCAAACGGAATTAACCGAACTTCAGTGTGATTTTATTCTCAAAAAACAATTTACTGATTTTATAAGGCTTTCAGCAAATAAAAGATGTCAAATTTCTAGAAAATCCAAAATTTTATGTTTGGTATTATTATTACAAAATACTCCTTGTTCATTATTGTGTGAAATAAATAATGCAAAATTAAACTTCTGTACTTTTTTAAATAATATTGCAGTGATTTGATAGATTGCAGTGATTTGATAGATTGCAGAGATTGGATAGATTGCAGTGATTTGATAGATTGCAGTGATTTGATAGATCGCAGTGAATTGATAGATTGCAGTGATTTGATAGATTGAAGTGATTTGATAGATTGCAGTGATTTGATAGATTGCAGTGATTTGATAGATTTTAAATATAATTATAATCTTATAATCTTCACACTTGATTCATTAAAAAAATAAATATTAGTTTGAGCGACCCTCACAACATTTCCTTAGACTAAAGAGGCTCCCATACCAAATTGAGTTTGACATGCTCTAAAAACTTCATCTTTTCTCTTCCAGTAACCTCTAACTCTAATAGTGCTTGCTTGCAATTTTGTTGGAGTGAAGATATTTAAAAAAAAAAGTATAGTAACAGCTTCATTATACAGACTATTGTTAATATATACAATTGCATTTCAATTTGATAAGCTAGTGGCATTTTCACAAAGTTTTTTTTTTGCCTCCATGTGTTTTCACATCCATCAAAGTTTTGACTTATAGTTTCCTTGGAAAATCTGATTATTTTGAAAGCAGGCAGTCAATTAATAGTGAGTAAAATATATATATATATATATATATATATATATATATATATATATATATATATATATATATATATATATATATATATCTTATAACCCTTGTAAATTAATGTAACAAAAACTGGTTGATTTTAAATAGCTGATTTTAAACAAAGTTGAAGCTTGAGAGCACAACAGCCAATCAATCTCAAGGAGTTTAAAGAGAATACTATGAATAGTACTAATATTCCTAGTTTGTAAAATATAATCTGAAATAAAGTATTTTTATTTCATTTTAGCTTGGGAAGTAGCTTTATAAGATTTATTAGCTCAAGATTTACAAAATTTACAAGGTATTAGTAACAGTAGCAAAAACAGCCAAACTTAACAAATTCAAAAAGGGACTTTCTGGATTGATATTAAAATAGAGAGCATAATCAAAATTGTGAAAAAAGAAATAGTATCGAAAATCCTAAAAACAGAATAAGATTAAAATAAATATATATATATATATATATATATAAATATATATATATATATATATATATATATATATATATATATATATATATATATATTTGTGCTTTAATAATTTCATATTACCTTTCTAATCCTGTACATTTTTAATCCCTGTTAATTTTTAATCTTTGGATACTTGGTGCTTTTTAACATTCGGCTCAAGATTATTTTTCCAAACATTTATTAAAATTCATTAAAATTATATCGCTGTATATATTAATTATTTAAAAAAATTGCTGCGATTTAACTTGCATTAAAAAAAAAGTTTAACTTATGTTTTGTGCAACTTTTTGATGCAGTCATTTATTTAAAATTTAATTTGGAGTAAAAAAAAAATGTTTAGGAAGGAAAACTGAAAAAACAATTGCAATATTTTAATTAAAGCTAATTTTTTTAAAGAACAAATAAAATTTAAAGATTGAACAATATTTAGTAATAGTTTTAATGATATTTAGTAATATTTTTAAATAAATTTGACAGGTAAGTTAAACCCAAACATTATTTTAATTTTACTAAACTTAAATATATTTTTTAAATATAAATTAAATTTTTTTTTTTTTTTTTTATCAGAATAAAATATTATATTTTTATTAAATTAGTTTTAAATTTTATTATATATTTTTTATAAAAATTAAATTATATTACTATGATCTTTGCTTCAAGCTTAAAGTATTAGCGTTTTTCAAGCGAAAAAATCAATCAATACAATAAAATAAAAACAAAATAAAAATAAAATTTTAACTATATTTGAGTTTTTTTCATTAGTAAATAGCGCTTATATCTAACATAATTTTCATTCAAACTTTTGTAACAAATATATTTACATAAATCTCATTCAAAAGTTAATGTTATTTTTTTTTAAATTAATTACTTCTTTTATCTTACCGCTTATAGAATAATTTAAAAGTTAAAAAATGATATAAAGTTGTTTAACCAAAATCTCTTACTGCTCTATGTACAATTGCTTAAGACGTACATAAATGGCCAGGAAGATGTGTGATTTCACATCATAATACTATTTGATTTTGAAAACTCTACCACAGCTGTTAATAAGTTTGAAAACTTGTATACATTTTTAAAATGGGCTGAAAAAATTATCTTAATTTAACTATGAAGAAACTTAAAAAAAAACTTATCGTAAAAAAAGCAAATAAATCTTCGTTAAAAAAATAATGAAAAATATAAAATAAAAAATACTTAACTAAAACAAAACAAAAATTAAATTAAATCTTAACTTAAATAAATAACTAACTATAATGATACGATTATTAAAATTACTTTTGGAATAAATAACTTTGAATTGTCTATCCTTACATATATTTTTATAATATAATACTATGCGAAACCCTTTTTAAATAAAATAACAACTTACATCTTATGATTGTTTAATAAATGCCTACATTTAAAAATTGAAAAAAAGATTCTTAACAATTCAACGTAATTAAAAACCATTTTTTCAGTGCATTTGTTAAAAACCATGGTTAAATCCTCAAAACAAAATATTATTTGCGTGTTCATATAAAGGCTTGAAATCGCACGCCTTCCTGGACAAGCCTTTATATATATATATATATATATATATATATATATATATATATATATATATATATATATATATATATATATATATATATATATATATATATATATATATATATATATATATATATATATATACTCTTGCATGTCTCTTGCGTGGCATCAAAAAATATTTCCCATAAACTGTAGTTTTAAAGAGCGCGTTAATAAACCAGACCAGAAAAAGTTTTAAAAATTAATTTTTTTTTTTTAATTGATAGACTGCCTGGCCAAACCAAACCCTCAGTCGATGTAGCAGCACTCTCTTGCGAGTCAGGCTATTTGTCAGTCGTTGTAGCAGCACTCCCTTGCGAGTCAGGCTATTTGTCAGTCGATGTAGCAGCATTCCCTTGCGAGTCAGGCTATTTGTCAGTCGATGTAGCAGCACTCCGTTGCGAGTCAGGCTATTTGTCAGTCGATTTAGCAGCACTCCGTTGCGAGTCAGGCTATTTGTCAGTCGATGTAGCAGCACTCTGTTGCGAGTCAGGCTATAAGATAGTCGATGTAGCAACATTTACGCATGTTTTAAAAATGTTTTTTTATTAAATCAATAACAAAAACACCACTAATTAAAAAAAACTTTCTAGTCGTTATAATTGCGGTTTTTTAAAATTTTTTTAAAAAACAATTAAATTTAATGTACTTCCGCATAAATTAATTGCTTTGACATTTCGATGACAATCAAAAACAGCTTAAGAGAAAAGTTTCATGTTAAATGCAATCATCAGGTAAAAAATAAAAAAGCTTAAATTTAGACATTTGAAATAAATTACTTTACAACTTATCTTTTGAAAACGTTTTATCAAAGTTACGCAAAACGCTTTTACAAATTACTTGTTTCCAATATTTTTTATCCAGAACATATGTTATATGGCCTGGTCAATGACAAAAATTTCCTTGATAAAAAAAATTCTTCCATGGCCTAGAACTTTATCATAAATGAAACTAATTTAAAACACTTAAATTGTCAACAGGAAGAGAGCTTTACAGCATAAACAAACTTGCAAAAACTTAAAAATTTTGATTTAATCAACGTATTTAAAAATAATGTATATTAGGGGTTGTCCATTAATTACGTCAACAAAAGAGGAGGGAGGGGGGTCAAAACTTTTTTGACAATTGTTGACACGGGGGAGGGGGAGGTCAATTAAAGTTGATGTCAACAATTCTTTTTTTTTTTTTTTTGAGTTTCATTGCTTAAATAACGGAAAATTAGGCTGAGTTTGTAGCGTAATTTCTTTGTATAGAAGGGGAGGAGGGTAATCAAAATTTGACATAAATTTATAAGGGGGGTCTCTGGAAATATGAAATTGTTGACAAAGGGGAGGGGGAGGTACAAATTTAAAAAAATTTGTTGACGTAATTAATGGACAGCCCCTTAGAATACTTGAACCAAAGAAATGTGTTTTCAAAATAAAATGTAACAAAAAAAAAAAAAAAGATTTAACAAAAAAAATAAGATTTAACAAAAAAGAATAACTTTTAAAATTTTAATTAATTACTCATTGTTGTAAAACATAAAAGTTATATAATTATACATACAGCAAACTCTTCAACTAGATCAGAGCCAGCTTTTAAAAATTCTCCATTTAATATACTAGACAAATCATGCTGATTTAAACCTTCTTCAGGCATAAACTTTCCTTGATGTAAATAACATGAAACAAATAAACCTTCTGCGAATATAACTGGACGAGCACATGCAATGCTAGTTAAATTATTATGCTCCATTTATCATGTTGTATATTACTAAATATGAATAAACATTCAAATATAAAAACTAAAATTTTAGCTTCACACAGTAAACAAAATTATTGTTAAAAAAAGCGGTAAACTTATTTTAAAATGTTCAACTTAGTTATTTTAAAATTTTCAAAACAACTAATCATATTTACATATCATAATACATATTTTTAACTAAAGTAGTTTGTTACATTGACAACCCTCGGAATTAGGAAAAACGAGGTTGGCATCAGGTTATTTTTGAGGTCGGCATCAAAATTAATTGATACAAAGGTCTGACCATAAAACATAAAAACGAGGTTGGCAACATTTTTTTGCCGACCTTAAACACTTTCAGGTCAGCAGTTAGGTCAGCATTGCCGAATGCTGACCCTAATTCCAAGGGTTGCATTGATAAGATATATTGCTATCATTTTATAATAATACTACAATGTTATAAATTAATGATAATAAAACTAAATATTAAATTATTTGTTTTTGCAAGAGAATACTCAATATAACTTATTCAATACAAAATACTCAATACAAAACAAAACAATTTAAAAAAATGCTTAATACTTCTTTCAAGGCTAAGTAATTTTTTATGGTTAACATATTATGAGCAAATTGGATAAAACAAAGCAATTAAAAAAAACAGTTATAAGTCGACATTAAAAAGACTGATTTTTCCATGTTTTAATTTGTTTTTTTTAAAGAGGAAAGCAAAAATGTAAATTTCTATCTGTTTGTAAAATATATTTGTATGATTTGAATGTAACAAGCATATATTGTCCCTATATGAATACATCTATTTTATACATACATGCATATATGTTTATATACACACATGATACATACATATATACATATATCATGCGTGTATAGATACTTATACATATCTACCTCATAGACTTTTCTACATTACTTTTTCAAGAATTTAATTAATTTTATTTGCTAGTCAGTATGCGCACGTTTAGCTTATTTGTTTAAGGCTATCAAAAAATTATATATACATTTTTCTTTTAAATTTTGCTGTTCATATAATTACTTTGTAACCATTTATCTATTCTTTATTGTATATAATAAATCTTTTGTTGTATGTTTTTGAATGATACACGTCTCTTCACATTCAGATTTCTTATACCATTTAAAACTCTCAGTGTATTTTCTAAGTAAGGTGAACATATACATGTTCACCTTACTTAGATATATATATACATACATATATATATATATATATATATATATATATATTATATATATATATATATATATATATATATATATATATATATATATATATATATATATATATATATATTAACATCTTTGCTTCCAACAAGGCTGCAAGCAACCACTAATTAGTGTTGGAAGTTACTGGAAGAGAAAAGATGGAGATTGTAGAGCAAGATAACGATTAACAGACGACTTAAAAGATTGCAAATTATATGAATCAGGAAAGCAAGATGAAGGAAGCGAATTCCAAAGAACTGATGTTCGAGGAAAAAAACTAGACGAATAAGAGTTTTTGGAGGACTTAGGAACAGTAACAGAAAAAGGATGAGACTTAATTGAATGACGAGTAACACGAGAATGAATTTTAGTAGATGGCACAAGAGACGATAGCTCTTTAGAGCAGTGCCCATTATAGTATTTTTAAATAAGAGAAAGAGAAGCAACATTATGACGATGTGACAGAGGTTGAAGGTTGGCTGCAAAATCAGGTCCAACTATGTTTACAATGCGTTTTTGCACCTTGTCTAAAAGAGAAAGGGCATCATTAGAAGATCCACCCCAGATATGGCCTTAAGTCTTTGCCTAGGAGGCCTTCTACAAGACAGCAGCCAGATGTATTTAACATCTGCCCAAGATGAGTATTTTTATAGAGACACCATCTCTAGCCTTTACTCAACCAAGAGCCCCAAGGCAGGGGGTGTTTTATGTCGGAGTTTGCATCTCCTAGCCTTTGCCTAAAAAGGCATATCCTACAAGGCAGCAGGACATGAAGCAGATTGTACTGGGTTACATGTTACCAGTAGCAGGATAAACCTGACCTGACCCAGAACTATATATATATATATATATATATATATATATATATATATATATATATATATATATATATATATATATATATATATATATATATATATATATATATATATGTATATATAATATATATTTTAATATATTAAATTTTTTAAATAGTTTTTTTGATGTTTAAAGCATCTCATAAAATTTTTTATTTTGTTTCGCCAATGTATATACTGCCACAAGAGCATGTGAGTTTGAAGAAACCGGGATTGCTATTGGGAATTAACTTTGATTTGCTGTTGCATAAGATGTTTTTTAACGTAGGTGGTGTAATAAAAACTATTCTGATGTTGTAATGTTTAAGTCCTTTTCTATGTTTTGAACCTATTTTTGGGAGCCATGGAAGCTTAACTGTATATTTACTTGTTTCTGTTTTACTATCGTTTACTTTAGAAAGGTTGTTTCTTTTCTGAGTATAGTTTTTAGCAGTTGTTTCAAGTTTTAATCTATCCTGTCCATTTTCTGCAAACATGTTTACTAAAAACTGTATTTCATCATTAAGATACTTTGTGGAACAGATTTTAATGACACGAGATACAAAACCTTTAAAAACACCCATCATTATTTTTGGATTA